AAATAGATTAGAGCTGTAAAATTCCATTGTCATTGATCATTGTCTCTGCCTATTAATGACAGTCACTGGTTGAGTTCGAAACAACCCAGCCCACATGAAAATTGTCCTTCAGGGGCTGTGAAAATAGGGAGGCCATAAGAGTTCACTTGTAGTTTCAAGTAGGTATAGCCTTCACCAGCTTTCACCACCCCTCACTCAGCATAAGCTCTGTCACCTAGAAGCAATTATAGACCCACACAGATGGGAAAGAATGGATGCCAAACTGCTTACTACTGTTTTGTGTGCTAATTACATTTTCTGAGGAGATTCAGCAGCAGTACCATCATCACAGATATCAGATTTGTAGTCTCCAGACTGCAGAGATCTTGGTACTTTATAGTTTACCAGATCATACAGTCAAGTTTTCTATCAAAGGAAAACCAGTTGATTGGATCGACTTATTGACTCAAATGCAATCCCTCACACTAAGTATGCTTGTAGCAACAGTGGAGAGGAAAAACTCCCTTTTAAAGGGAAGAAACCTCCAGCAGAACCAGGCTCAGTGTGAGCGGCCATCTGCCGAGGCCGACTGGGGTTAAAGGAGACAGAAGCAGAGATACAAAAAGCAGCTGTAAAAGGCGGCCCCGTCCAGGAAACACACAGACAGGCAGACGTGCTCCGAGCCAGCTCCCATGTCAGAGGATGAAGAGAGCACATCCAGCCAGTCACAGTCAGAGAAACAGGACCACACTGGAAAACAGCTGATCTCCAAGATCTATAAACAAAGGTGTTGATGACAGCAGCACAGCTAACATTTCTCTCCAGGATGGTGTCACAGCCAAACAGCTGTGAAATCAAACCTTACCTGCAAGTTATCTGACTTACTTACCATTTAAAATAACTATTTTCATTCAAGATTAAACGATAAACACCTTGTATTAAATTAAACTGTACTTACAATATTTACCACTGTCCATTGCCAATTCCCTTTTTCCTTCAGAAATGGAGTAGCCAGCTTGCTTGGACTCACAATGAACCATGGGATACCCAAGGCTACAGAGGACATATTGGACCTGTCCATCCAACCGGGTGAAAAGAAGGCTGCATTTATGGGCCGCATATGAAGGAGTCTTCCAATCCCAACAGACCAAGGCACTGCGCTATGACCTAATCAGCCATTAAATCTGGCCTTCAGATGCCTCTGAATTCAAACAAAGCCACTGTCTGTCATAATGCTGTATATTGAAAGCGTTTGATGTTTTCCTTAGCTATCCCTGATGGAATAACATAAAGTAAATGCAGCAGTGGAACTGCAGCTATCATGTTCAGAGCATGTGAATGAAGCGGCGCGTGGAGCAAGAGGTGGAGCGGAGCGGAAGAAATATTGGGGAAAGCAGAGCGGTTTTCAATTCAAAGGCCGGAGTGAGGTTTTCGCAACGTCAATTAAAAATTTTGGATTATAAAATTAGTAAAAAAAACATTTATTATTAATACCAACCTTTCCACGGAATCCCAGAGATGATGATTGCATATTGTGTGATAATAAGTGGGATAAAATATCATAAAAACATATACTAACTATACTTAAAAATACAGAGTGGGTTTACTTAAAGCGATTATTTGTTGTAAGAGCCTGTTTTTCAAAATGGATCGCATACATACATTAAACGCTATTATCTCATTCACAATGGGATGCAAAGTGATCTTTTTTAATGTGGTTTAGTAAAATAAATAAATATTAAATAGGAAAAGCAGGGAAACATGAATGGAGTGAATTGTTAAGTTTACAGCTGGGAAAATATATCAAGTGCAATAATTCAACAGCCAGTTAGATAAGACAATAATTAAATCTCACACTGTGTGTGCCAGAGCCCTGGCATAATTACATGAAGGAAAATTTTCAGAAAATGCCTTCTCCTTAAAATTTGAGTGATCATGGAGCGATTTTGTCGGAGTGGCAGGAAAATTAAGGTGAGCGCGGAGCGGATTTTGAGAGGAGCATCTTGACACAACTTTTAGTGGCGGAGCGAATGAGCAACATCGTCCTAAGTGGTGCTCCACTCTGTTCACATGCTCTGATCATGTTTCAGAAAACTTTTAAATCCCAGTACCATCATCTGGTGCCCCTTCTGTTTGGTCCTTGCTATTGATCTGACTAACTGAGTAAGATAAACCTATCAGACTCCATTTCCCACTGGCGGTGGAAATAGAAGAGTTGAAGATGTTTTTGGAATATTAATAGTAGGTTGGAAAGCCTATGTGGCACAACTGGAGATCCCTATTTTTGTAATAGCTGCTAGGGGCATGAGGGGGTTAAAACAGAAATACGGGGTACAGAGATTCACATACATGAAGGTACAAGGCTGTAGCCGGTGACGTGTATTGGGTGTAACCATGGTGGATCTGGTGCTGAAACATCTAAACCAGGGGTGTCAAACTGGTTCCAGAAAGGGCTGTGTCGCGGCAGGTTTTCTTTCCAACCAAACAATAGCACAGGCTACATTACATAGCACAGACTCCATTCATCTAATCAAGTCATGTTCAGATTGAACTCACTTAATGAGATGAATGGAGTCTGGTGTGCTATTGCTTGGTTGGAAAGAAAACCTGCAGTCACACGGCCCTTTCTGGAACAAGTTTGACATCCCTGATCTAAACGATAGAGCTTTTCTCCTGCTGGACCTCTTATAATTGCATACCATGCAAGCAGGTCAGCAAAGAATTTAGTAACCCAAACCTTTAACCTAACCTTCATCCTGCACCACTCGACCATCCATCCCTGGGTGGTCAATCTGGTTATGGAGCATAATTTTAGAAAGTCAGAACAGCTCATCTTTCCTTTTTTTCTTTTGGAAAATGGAACATGTAAGAAATAAAAACCTGTTGGGGGAGTGTTGGCATAGTGGTTAGAATATTGCCCTTGCGCTCTGAGAAGGTTTCAAGTGCCTGGTTTCATCCCCACAGTGGGCACTCTGGCTCTCTGAGCACGATCCTTAACCCCAAACTCCTTCCTGGGCGCCATACAAAGGCAGCCCACTGCTCCCCAAGGGGATGGGTTAAATGCAGAGACTTAGTGTCTCCAAATCTGAAATCATTAAAACTCTATCTCTCTTTGTAATTTCTATTTCTATTTGGGCGTATTGATCTAGCTTTTGTAAAAATGATTTACAGTAAAAGTCTTTTAATATGATGGGGTCAAACTATTAAAAACCTTAAAAAACAGGAATAACACTTTAAAATAAATCCTATACCAAACAGTAAGCTTGTGGGTGGAAAAGGCAATCTTAGATTTGATTAATATCAAATATCAAAAGGAAACATCTACTGTATACATACTTTATTTTTATTTTTTATTTTTTACAGAAATCATGTAGCATTAGTCTATCCATATTTCAATTATTATATTCTTAAGATATGAGGATTTGTGCGTAGTGGTAAAACAATTAGCTTGTTTCCTTTAACATGAGCTAAGGTTTTGTTTCAACTTCGTCATCAGTTTCCTTAAATATGATGTAAAGTTTTGTTACAACTTCATCATGTCCGCTTGAGGAGACGTTTGTTTGAACTTTAACATTAGTATCCTGCCTTATTGTCATGTAAGGCTTGCATGTAATTAGCGTCCTTTAATAGTGTTTTCCAGTGAGTGCCATCTGGCTCAAGATAAACAGGACAGTCCTCAGAGGAGCAGCCTGACTAAAGGCAGCATAACAAGAGCATACCAATAGTTTCTTTAATGGCTAGAGAAGTTGAGTATTAGCACATTGTTTATGTTAAGTACTTCAAAGAAAACCTTTTTTAGCTAAAAAGGTATAAAGAAAAAAAATCATATAAGAAAAAGGGAATTTATATTGAAATAAACACTTGCCATTGGCAATTTTGAGCAAGCCTATGAGAAAAAAAGTATCACTACCTTGGAAAAAGGAACAATTTTCACTCTTTATGTTTAAATGATTAAAGCTGGGGTCCATGGTGGTGCAGTTTGTAGCTATGTTGTCTTGCAGCAAGTAGGTTCCATGTTTGATTCTTGGCCTTTCTTCATGGAGTTTGCATGTGATCATTGTGCATGCGTGGGTTCTCTTTGGATAACCTGGCTTTCTCCACAGCCAAAAACATGACTGTTGGCTTCTCTAAATAATCCTTAGGTGTAAGTGTGCATGTTTGCATGGTTGTGTGACTCTGTGTTTCCCTGCGACGGACTGGTGACCTGTCTATGGTGTACCCCACCTCTCACCCGTAGACTGTTGGGGATAGGCACCGGCCCCACCGTGACCCAGGAAAAGGACTAATCAGGAGAAGGAGAAGAGGATGGATGGATGGATGGATGGATGGATGGATGGATGGATGGATGGATGGATGGATGGATGGATGGATGGATGGATGGATGGATGGA